TCAGGTAGCACAAAGTGAAGCTGAAAAGAAATTGAAGAAAGATGACAAGAAGAAAGAATTACAGGAGCTAAATGAACTCTTCAAACCTGTAGTTGCTGCTCAAAAAATAAGTAAAGGCGCAGACCCCAAATCTGTGGTGTGTGCGTTCTTCAAGCAAGGACAGTGCACGAAAGGGGAGAAGTGTAAGTTTTCTCATGACTTGACTCTGGAGAGAAAATGTGAAAAGCGAAGTGTTTACATTGATGCAAGAGATGAAGAACTAGAAAAAGATACCATGGATAATTGGGATGAGAAAAAACTGGAAGAAGTAGTGAACAAGAAGCACGGTGAGGCGGAAAAGATAAAACCCAAAACTCAAATAGTGTGCAAGCATTTCCTTGAAGCTCTTGAAAACAACAAGTATGGCTGGTTTTGGGTATGCCCTGGAGGGGGTGATATGTGTATGTATCGTCATGCACTTCCCCCTGGATTTGTGTTGAAAAAAGATAAAAAGAAAGAAGAGAAAGAAGATGAAATTTCATTAGAAGACCTCATTGAAAGAGAGGTAACTCATGTCTTTTTCAAACCATGAAAGTGGCAGAAATATTTGCTCTGAAATTTCATTCGTTACCACTTGGGGGCAATACCATGCTGTTAGGGAGGTGGGGAAATACTGTCATCTTTTCTCAGACTTCTTTTTTCTTGAAATTTTTTGTGCTCATATGTAAACCTAGCCATCAACATTAGCCAGTTATGGCATTAATTTTAGGATTGTGACCAATTTTTGAAATACTGGTCAATGAATTATCAAATTATTTCTTTAAAATTGATTTACCAGTAATTCATTAAAAATATTTTGCCATTGCTCAGATTAATTGGACTTGTAGATTTAAATCTTTTCCCTCCCATCTATATTTTGTCAGTTTACTTATTTTTAACATGGATGGAAAGAGAAACTCCAGTTTTCAGTTATATATTTTATGTGATCCATGGACTCAGTTTGCTGACAGAGGAAGGAATCTGATCAGAAGAAATTTTCAATTACTCATGTCTGGGCCAACACGAATAGTTCTATCTGTGAGTTAACAAGAGTATTAGAAATTGATTTGGCCTTATACACTTGAGACCACCTAAGTTTGTTTTCTATTTTATTTTATGGAGACCCTACACAGTGAAAACATACGCCAGTTTCTCCATGTGCATTTCAGTGACATTGGTGACGTTCTTCGGGTTGTGCGATATATTTTTGCCCTTTTCTGAGTGTTCCTCCTGTACTAACATAAACTCGCTGCCTTCACTGGCCCCTCTCGAACAGATATATGTTCTTAAGTTATTGGATGCTCCACACAGAAAACAGACTTGAGAATCAAATCCAGGTAGTTTTGTAACTAGTTTGACCATCTATTAGTTGTTACATTTTGGTACATTTCTTATATTTTTCCTCTGTTTATTAGTTGTAAAAAATCAGTGTGATGGCATTAATATAGCAGATACTCAGGTGGTTTTTCTATATTTTTATTACCTGATTATTGGTCTTGAGTAGTTGTTGGTATTTTTTAACAGATACTTTTATTGGAGGCTCTTACCTCTCTTACCACAATCTATACATTCATCCGTTGTGTCAAGCACATTTGCGCATATACTGCCATCATTTTCAAAGCATTGTCTTCCCACTTAGCCCCTGGTATCAGCTCCCTGTTTCTTCCCTGTCCCTCCCCCACCCGCCCTCCCTCACGAACCCTTGATAAATTATAGATTATTATAATTTTCATCTTACATCGTCTTCCATCGCCCCACTTTTCCATTGTTTGTCCCCTTGAGATGGGGTTATAGGTTGATCCTTGTGATCGATTCCCCCTTTCTCCCCCCACCTTCCCCTAATCCTCCTAGTAGCTCTAATCTCATTGTTGATGCCCTGAGTTGTTGGTATTTTTTGTTGAGTTTTTTTTTCCTGGTATCCTCTGAAGCACAGATAAAACTTGAAAATTTTGCAGTGTTTTTGTTTTAAACAATTTTTCAACATTAATTTTGGCTCACTTTCAATTTGTAAAGAATTCTACCTCAAAATAATGTATTTTATTATGTTTAGAAATGTTTATGTCTCCAGATGCTCATTTTGCTCAATCACTTGACTTGCCTTCAGTGTCTTTTTTTAAGTGCCTGTATGGCTCCATTGAGAGAAAACCATGAACTAAACACCATTATAGGTGACTTTGGGGGAAAAAATTAACATTTTATCTCTGCAGCGTTCTGCCCTAGGTCCAAATGTTACCAAAATCACCCTAGAATCTTTTCTTGCATGGAAAAAAAGGAAAAGACAAGAAAAGATTGATAAACTTGAGCAAGATATGGAATGAAGAAAAGCAGACTTCAAAGCAGGGAAAGCGCTAGTGATCAGTGGTCGTGAGGTGTTTGAATTTCGTCCTGAACTCGTTGATGATGATGATGAAGAAGCAGATGATACCCGTTACACCCAGGGTATAGGTGGTGATGAGGTTGATGATTCTGTGAATGTAAATGACATAGATTTAAGCTTGTACATTCCAAGAGATGTAGATGAAACAGGTATTACCGTAGCGAGTCTTGAAAGATTCAGCACATATACTTCAGAAAAGGATGAAAACAAATTAAGTGGAGCTTCTGGAGGCAGAGCAGAAAATGGGGAAAGAAGTGACTTGGACGAGGATAAGGAAGGAGAGACACAGGAAAATGGAGCTATTGATGCTGTTCCTGTGGATGAAAATCTTTTCACTGGGGAAGATTTGGATGAACTAGAAGAAGAATTAAACACACTTGATTTAGATGAATGACACCAAACAAGTTCATGAACAAATGAAATCTTCTCAGCATGAGTTCAAATTGACTACATTAATTTTTCCACCTAGAATTCTTCAACAGAATGTTTATTTACCATACTGGTTGTGGAGGGCTAACCCTCTCCAAAAACAGGAATGTTCTCCTTACGTCTTCTCTCCTGACTTTGACTACAACTCATAGTAAGTTCAGAGTAGTTTGTGATAAATTGAAATGTAATGGTCAATCCAGAAAATGATTGATGGTTATAACTGTCCACCCAAGTAGGAAGAGTAACTGCTTTTCCAACTTTTGTTTTTCATTGGGCATGCGTTACCAGGAACAAGAGAAATCTAAATATAAAACATCTTTCCTTTAGTGCCGTTGTTGAGTGATTTCATTTCCTTGATATTTATATCGTAAAAGAGGCTGCCTAAAATAGCACTGTACTTCATAAAGGGAATTGCGTATGCAGAGTCAGTGTCGTGTCCTCTCTGGACAATTAGATGAACATTTGAGATGGACCTTTGATCTGATGAGATCAGTTGTGATATCTTGTGTTAAACTGTTAATTTTGTTCCTCTTTTTGCCAATAAAGTTGTAAATAAAGACCGTCATACATTAAAAAAAAAAGAAAAAGAAGAAAGGTTATACGGGCAAAATGTTGAATGATGCAAGAAGCGTCAAAAGAAGATGGAAAATAGACATAGACTTGCTGTACTAAAGAGAAGTAGTCAACATGCAACAGTATGAACGGGGTAGCATATGATCAATGTGCCAATGTATTAAATAATCACAAAAGTTCAGATCTAAGGAGGTTGCATCCTAGGCATTAGTTGGCTCTCATGTATAAACGAAGGCAGATTTTTGGACGTGGAACTTTGATTCATTAATTGAGGACATTTATAAGGCTTTACAAGGTGACCTCAATGGTTAAATAATTTGGCTGGAAACAGAAATATCAACAATTGGAACTCACCAGCTATATTGGAGAAAGATGTGGCAGTCTGTTTCCATAAATATTCACAGCCTTAAAAACCGTATAAAACAGTTCTACTCTGACTTAGAGGGTCACAATGGGTTTGGGATCAACTCCACTGCAGTGAGTTTGATTTGGGTTTAGGGCTTGACAAACAAATGATCCACTTTGAAAGGTCCAAAATATCATTGGATCTTATATATGGTCTCTCAATGAATAAGTAATTAAAATTCAATTTTTAAAACATGCCTGTAGAAGAACAATCGAAATTGTGAGCCACAAATCTTTCCAGTTTGTTTAAATTTGGAGTGCTATACTTCAATCCATGTTTCATAGGTACAGAATTGAGTGTATCCTATTTTAAAAGAAAACATTTATTTATAACAAACTACAGGCGCTCTCCTGGTGACACGGTGGTTACGTGTTCAGTTTCTAGCTCCTAACTGAAAGGTTAGCAGTTTAAAACCACCTCCGTTGAAGAAAAATGGGGTTGTCAATTCCCTTAAAGAGTTTGTCTTGGAAACTTACAAGGGCAGTTCTATAGGATCATTGTGAGTTGGCATCAACTCAATGGCATTGAGTTTGGTTTTGGTTTAAATCATTAATAGACACTCTAACTGTAGCAGATGAGCAGATAATGTTGCTTCTACTGAAACATTGTTTTTAAAATACTTGCTCATTATATTGAATAATATTATTTTTATGAAGCTCACTGAATACATCTCTTTCTGGTTTGCATCAATTATGTCTTGCTCTGTTGCACTGACTGTAGAAATTTTAGAATGTATCAGTGGAGACCCTGAACAGAGTTAAGGTGATTGGTAGCATTTTATGCTCAGATATCTCTCATCTCATTCCTATTCTAATTTTCCTTCATGTCATTCCCTATGGCATTTTTTTAAAATCCTGTATTGTTAGTTAATTGAGGTGACATCTTGAGTTTCACTCATCAGGCAGTTGACTGAGCCAGCAGCTCCACTTCCGAGTTGACTCTCCTGGCTGTTGGCTGGAGACTGTTTCTCACTACATGGGTTTCTTCATAGGGTTTCGTGCAATGTGGTAGTTAGATTTCTCTAAAGAGGGAAGGAGAGCAAATTGAAGAAAAAATTTCAGTCCTTTTTATTACAATCTTAGAAATGACATTCCATCACTTCAATTTGTGAATATTAGAAGGCAGGATCATTGGAGCCTGTCTTGAAGGATGGCTATTATTGCTCCCAAATAGTCTTGAAACAATTCTAAGGTCTGGAGCTGTACAGTGTCGAATGGGGGCTGTTGGAGAAAGAAGGCTTGATCTCTGTGGCAGTTAATTTCATGTGTCAACTTGACGGGCCCATCATTCTCAGTGGTTTGGCACTTAAGATGTAGTCATTTCCTCAGATGAGGTCTCATGTAATGTCATCACTCCCATGATGTGATCTGCTGGGAATCATAACTTGGCCAAGTTGACAGGAGATTATGTAACTGCCACAACTCCTATGAAACCTGTTCACTCTGCATGACCCTGCTAACATTTGAAACACCGGTGACATAGCTTCCAGCATCACAGCAAAACACAAGCTATCACTGTATGACAAACTGACAGACAAGTGGTGGGCCTCTTAATATATACTTTAATTAAAAGAGATGGCATGTCATGATAGAAACTGTGATTATAAATGTTGTGTCAACTTGGCCAAGTTATGATTCCCAGTAGTTTCATCAAAAGTTAGTCATTACTTTCCTTACTGTACTGTACTGTAATATAATGTAATGTACTGTATTGTAATGTAATGCAATCACTTTCCAATTAGGTGAAAGGGGAATTTCCTTAGTTTGTGTTCTGTTTTCAGATTATGCATAAATATCTTGACAGAACTCACTCTTTCCCCATTTTTTACTCTTCCCATCACCAGACCTAAAGATCTTGGAATGCAAACCTATAAAACTCTCCAGTCTCCTGATTCATGTACATCTTTTGGACTTGCCAGATCTCACAACCACAGGAATCAATTCCTTGAATTACAACTTTTTATATACATATATCACTCTGTTTCTGTTTCTCTAGAAAGCTCAGAAAGCAAAACACCAGCTAACTGACTCCAGACAGCTGCATAGAGTTTGAACATCTGGCAGTCTAGAATATGCTTTACTGCAAGTATTTGCTCTACTAGTACTTTGTTCTCAGCATTGTTAGAAACTGCTTGCCCCACGACTGGATGAATTTGAGTTGGAGTGCTGGCCAAGGACATTGAAAACACCACGGACTGCGAAAAGGACAATCCAATCTGTCTTGGAAGGAGTATAGTCTGAATGCTCCTTAGCAAAGATGGCATACTTTGAACAAATTTCAGGAGAAACCATTCCCTGCAGAAGAATATCGTGCTTGGTAAAGTGGAGGGGCAGCAAAGAAACAGAAAGCCATCAAAGAGACGGATGTAGGCACCAGACAGTGGTTGCAACAATGCACTCAGGCATGGGAGCATTTGTAAGGCTAGTCCGGGACTAGGCAGTGTTAAGTTCTGACCCATGAGTTCTCTATGGGTCAGAACCAACTCTATGGCACCTAACAACAACAACAGATTGTCCCAAGAATCATGTGATCCAGCAAAAAATGGGGGTGGGGGCGCAATCAACAGTACTGGGGATAGAATTGCTTTGGGAAGCAGATTCACTGAAAGCAGTGTGTGACCCCTAAAGAGTGAAGAGATGGAGAAAGCTTTTAAAAAATGGATTTAAACAAGCATATTGCACTGATGTAGAAGGACATGGATCAAAGAATAGGGAATTAGGATCAACCTTTGATGTATCATTTAGTCATTTTCGACTCTAGCCATACGCTCAGACAATTACAGCCTAGGGGATATTACAAGAATAAATGGACACAAAAAGGAATCCTCGTGCCTTGAAGAAGGGTTCTCTGGGTGTCAGGGAGCCAAGGGAAGCTACACTTAGCACAGCAGTACATAAAAATTATGAAACGAAATTCTACAAAGGATACGTGGTTGCCAAAATGACATTTAACAGCATGATACAAGCATGCTGTGTCCCTTAACACCAGCCAGAATTTTCACAGAACAGAACAATGAATCTGATTTTAAAGAAAGGAATGGGAATTCGGAAAGGAAACTGAGGAAAAAATTAAAATGACCAGGTCTGGAAAAAAATAGCTAGTTTTTAAATGGCTAAAATAATCTTGCCATTTTATATGAGTTTTATAATCATCTGCATGCTTATGATGTGCTGGTAAAAATAAATCAGAGCGATATTCCGTTCTCCATTTTCTTAGGGGTGAGAAGTTCATAAAAGCATTGCTTGGAATGTGCATTTGGGGGTTTGCTCCCTTAGGAAAAGTATTCTGTCATTCCCTGGGAAGGGTGACTTATCAAGATGTAATAAAAGCATTCCCTGGGGGATGACGACAATCCCTGTGCTCCGATGACTTAGGCCTGAGTTACCATAAAGAGTAACCCAGGTCTGTGTACTTCGTACATTGAGGATGACAGTCTAAGGAGGAAGGGAGGGAAAACACAGAGACGTGCCTGGAGGGAAGGATTAGGAAGGGAGAATCTAATATTCTTCTTTTAGGGTGATCTCATCGAGGCCTTTGGACTGCAATAAGTGAGCCTGGAAGACAGCCTCTCAAAGGCCCAGAAATCCAAAAGAAATAACCCCAGTGTTGTGGAGGTCACACGACAACTCACCAGAACCATGTAGCCTGGGACCAGCTATCTACCCAAACCTTGGATTCTCCTCTCCTCTCCTCTCCCCTACCCCCTCTTCCCTCCCCTTCTCTCCTCCCCTCTCCTCTCCACTTCATTCCTTTCCCCTCCCCTTCCCTCCCTTCCTCTCCTCTCTCCCCCTCATGAGCAAGCTGCCTCCCCTCAGGTGAGTGGATACTGAACCCTGGGTCTGCGTACAAATACATCCCCCTTGAGGGTCCTCTGTCACAACCCAGGGCCAAAGCCCTAGTGGATCCAAAGTGGGGGGTAGGAGCATCTCTTCCGGGTGGTCTGTAAGTTTGAACTGGGACGCCTACAGCTGGAGACTAAAGAAAGGACATCACTGTTACTGTACGAAAAAGAAGATGCTAGTAAAATGTGACCTACGCAGTTAGACTGCACATGACAAAAGCCTTGACAATGAGTATGATCAAATGTCATAATGCATTACAAAGATACAAGTTCTCTCTCTTAAGCCTGTTACAATAGGATGCAGGGTCATCTGCCTGCTGCAGTTTTTATTTATCTGACCTCGTGGTGGTAAATGACTAGCCTAGATAATTTCTCATAATTTTTTCCTCAGGAGGAAGGGAACAGATTAAACATTTTTTGTGTGTATTTATTGAATTTCTTTCCAAAAATTAAAAATAGATTTGAGGCGACTTCAGGGATTCATGTCAAATTACCAAGTAATAATAATTAAAATGCTATAGTGAAAGAAATATTAAGGTGAGGGGAAAGGAAAAAAATGTTTTTCTAAAATTATAGCTTATGTTGTCAGTCCTTGCTTTGCTAGAAGAGTAAATCATGCCAACAGATGTAGCCAGTCAATTTGTGGTGTTAAAGTCTTTGCAATGGTGTGTCCCTGACAAATTAGTAAATTTTTACTAAGTGTCTGAAGTACTCTGAGAAGCACTTTGCTCACTCTTCA